CCCTGATGATTCTTCAACTGGTTCTGAACAGAGGTGGATTTCACATAATTTTACCACCAGTTTGCCGCGCACTGAAACTGTGCACACACACACACACACATGTACACGCATGCTTTGTGGCCAAGCGTGCCTTTCACACATGCGCTTTGCTCGCACGCGGCTTAGAAAACGTGGCTGAATAGGACGACATAGATCCGGGGCAGATTGCCACTACCGATTCGCCCAAACCAATCCGAACCGGCTGAATACCCCTTATCTGAAGTTCTGGCGGCTGACTCCCTTCTTGGAGCTGGCAACTGGCCTGCATTTCGGGCCGTTAAGGTCATTCACATGACCTTGTTTGAAGATGGCTTTGCTAAAAAGTGGCGTTTTCGGTTTTCAGCAAAAGGGCTCCATTCGTTTGCTTAATGACCGTGGTGTTCATTAACAACCGCCACATAAAAGGTTATAAAATCAGTCTGGTCGTATGGGTGACCTGTTTTACGACTGTAATGGCCAGCGGGCTCCATTACGGTCGTTAAGTCGAGGACAACTTGAGAAAGTCCAAGATTGCATTCCAGAGATGTCCAGTCAAACGGCAAAAGGTGACAAGAATTAAGTTGCAAAGGACAACTTACCATATTTTTCGGAGTATAACACGCACTCCCCCCCAAAAAAAGAGGGCGAAAATTTGGTTGTGTCTTATACACCGAATGTAGTCGCGCCCACCTGCTTAGCCTTTGCCTCCCAGCAATTTGCCTCCTTGCAGCAAACAACAAACAGCCTGTTTTAGTTTCAGCACAGCTTGATTAGCAGATCCCGACGATCAGCTGTTTCAGGCTGCAGGGATTGCCATTGCCTATTGCCGCCTCCGCGCCCCCCATTTTCCACCCATTCTGAACTCCGCCACCTGGAACGGGTGGAAAATGGGGAACACCGAGGTAGAAAACGGGGCATGTGGAGGCTGGAAACGGGGTGTGCAGAGGCTTTGGCAATCCCTGCAGTCTGAAACAGCTGATCATTGGGAAGCCGATCCAATTGACAAACAGCTGCTTGTGCTAATCAGGCTGTGCTGAAGCTGAAACACGCTGTTTGCTGCAAGGAGGCAAATTGCTGGGAGGCAGCAGCAGATATTTTTCCTTGTGCTAATCAGACTGAACTGAAACTGAAACAGGCTGATTGCTGTTTGCTGCAAGGAGGCAAATTGCTGGCAGATTTTTTTTTCTTGTTTTCCTGCCCAAAAGCTATGTGCCTACTTCGGAGCATCTTATACTCCGAAAAATATGGTAATTTCCCAACCCCTGAAGTCCACCTCCAGAAACTTTCCCTTCTCCAAAGTGACAGCTGCCAATCACCTCACCTGTCATTCTGGTAGACCTCCATGCAACTGTTCAACTCCTCCAGTTCCTCCTTTAGTAGCTGCAAGTTGGAATTGACGTAGCTGAGTTCCAAAGCAACCGTCTCTTTGACCTTGTGGTTACTTGTGGCCCTGAGACCAAAGGGAGGAAAAGAGAAAAAAAAAATTACTCAGTCTCTACAGCTAGTCCTCGACTTGCGACAGTTCATTTAGTGACCGTTAAAAGTTACAACGGCGCTGAAAAAAAGTGACTTATGGCCGTTTTTTTCACAGTAACGACCTTTCCAGAATCCCCGTGATCATGTGATCAAAATTCAGAGGCTGGGCAACTGACTTGTATTTATGATGGTTGCTGTCATGAAGCCAGATTCACTTAACAACCGGGTGACTAACTTATCAACCGCAGTGATTCGCTTAACAACCGAGGCAAGAAAGATCATAAAACAGGGCAAAAGTCATAGTACTAGTAATATAAAAAAACCAGTATAATAATAATAATATTTGTGATACATTTTTAAATGTTGATTTGACTGAGTTTCATATTTAATGAATAAAAGACAATAATAGTAATAATAATAATAATAATATAATGTATAGAAATAAAAGATAATAATAGTAATGGTAATAATAATATAATGTATAAAAATAAAAGATAATAAGTAATAATAATAATAATAATTTAATGTATAAAAAGTATAATAAAAATAATACTATAATAACTTGTGATATATTTTAAATGTTGACTTGACTGAGTTTCATATTTAATGAATAAAAAATAATAATAGTAATAGTAGTAATAATAAAAATAATAAAAAGTAAATAAAGTATAATAAAAATAATAGTATAATAATATTTGTGATACATTTTTAAATGTTGACTGAGTTTCATATTTAATGAATACAAGATAATAATAGTAATAGTAATAATAATAATATAATGTATAAAAAGTATAATAATAATAATATTTGTGATATATTTTAAATGTTCACTTAACTGAGTATCATATTTAATGAATAAAAGAAAATAATAGTAATAATAATAGTAATGTATAAAAAGTATAATAATAAAAATAATAGTATAATAATATTTGTGATATATTTTAAATGTTCACTTAACTGAGTATCATATTTAATGAATAAAAGAAAATAATAGTTATAATAATAATAGTATAAGAATGTATAAAAAGTATAATAAAAATAATAGTATAATATTTGTGATATATTTTTAAATGTTCACTTGACTGAGTTTCATGTTTAATGAATAAAAGAAAATAATAGTAATAATAATAGTAATGTATAAAAAGTATAATAATAAAAATAATAGTATAATAATATTTGTGATATATTTTAAATGTTCACTTAACTGAGTATCATATTTAATGAATAAAAGAAAATAATAGTTATAATAATAAAATAATAGTAATGTATAAAAAGTATAATAAAAATAATAGTATAATATTTGTGATATATTTTTAAATGTTCACTTGACTGAGTTTCATGTTTAATGAATAAAAGAAAATAATAGTAATTATGATTATGATGGTTATTATTATATACTTTATTCATTAAACATGA